CAAGTACACGGTAGGTATGGGCATAGGAGAACCGAACCGCACGACCACTCGACCGAGGTAACCCAGGGGGCCCTGTCCGCAGCAGCCCTGGGGACCAAACGACAGCGACGGAGGAAAAACAAAAGCCAAAATGACTACCAGTCAAGCAGCACAGGAGCGTGAACACGAGGGAGCACAGACAGGGGAAAAACCCTTGCTGAGCCCGGGCACAGCCTCATGAGGTCACAACCCGTTGCTGCTTTGAGGTCACAAATCGCATTTGTCTTGCAAGAAGACAAATGCAGAGGCTTCCGCGCCAATATGGAAGCGATTTGGCATGCTGTTGGGCCTAGAGGACAGCCGTTTGTAATGCTAAGCACCTAGACCCAAATGTCCCTCCCTAGGCTGCGGATCTGGCTGCGATGCCGTATTACAAGACAGCGCGCATTTGTGTACGCATATCCTGCATCACAGATTTCCCATTTGATATGGGGAGGGGGGATTTTTCCTTACGATACAGACTTTGGTTGCACCACACGCCGTAGAAAACCGTGTAGACGATGATACCGCCCAAGCCGAGGAAAATGCACGCTTGTTCGACGACAAACGGCCAGTACACGTGGGTCTCGTCGTCCGTCAGCATGAAAACCAGCAACGCCGTGCACAAAGACACGTACACCAACGACGCCAAGCTGTACCCGCAATTGTACTGGCACATCATGTTCCGCAACAGTGTCGGGGAAGCGGTTTTGCACAGAACCCACACGGCTTGCAAATTGTTCACGTTGCCCGCGAGTAAGTCCGTGCCGTTCGGGTTCAACAGGGAGATTCTCTCCGCGATTTTCGGGTTCCGCGTCCGTAAGTAGTTGCGTGCCTCGGGGTCGTCGAGGAAGAGGACGAGGAGGACCTGAGAGAGTAGCCACCGCTTGTACGCGTCGAGGTAGGGGAAGGAGGCAAAGAAGAAGACCATCACCATGGCCATCTGAAACCAGAGCAGGCGCAAAACGTACATGGTGTTGGACAAACTATCCCCGCCGAAGGCGTAGTCCCCACCGAATTGTAGTGCGCGGATTATCGGACAGGCGCAGGTAGGTAGGAAACAGCAACAGAAAATGAACATGGAATCCGGCGTGGGTTCGTAAGCGACGCCGAGAATGACATAGGCGAGAAGGGGGAGCGGGATCTTGTTGGTGGTGATGGTCAGATCTTCGCTCGTGTGGGTTGTTGTAGTACCGTTTGTAGTTGTGCTGCTCGTAGCTCCTGTGATCATGGCCGGTTTAGATGTTGTTTGCTTCGACAGCGTGGTTGCGGTATTTATTTTCATCATGTCTACTCCTGCTATCTCGCTATTCACACAATTACCCGCGCACGCCGCTGCCCGCACGCTTTTCGGGTCCAAGCGAAGAATTTTCCTCAAATTCCCATACTTGCTGTGCCAGATGTGCTCGTGCTTGAAGTTTTTCTTTTTCCGCGAAAACTTCGCGGGGTCGTCTAACACGCTGAAAAAATTGTCCTGCGCGAGGGTGAAGAAGCCTTTGACGACTTGCGCGTCCCTTTCCACTTCGAGCTCGCCCTGTTGGAACTCCAGCAGTAGAGAATTCCGTAGAACCGACTCGAACATCGCCTCTAAAATGTCCCACTCAAACGTCCCTTGCTGGTCGTAGTAGAGCGCCGCCCCGAGTCTGCGCGGTCCTTTGCCAAACGTCCCGTAGTTTTTGCTCCCCTTGATACAGGCCATTTCCGTCGGGCTGAAGTACCCGTACTTGATCCCAATGCAGGTCCCGCGGTACAACTTCAACAGCCCCAAAGTCACCACGTCGATCCAATGGACTTGGTACTTGGGATTCTCCGTCGGGCCCCAGGCTTTAGATGTTGAACCTTGATCCTCATCGTTGTCCCCGAGCCACTTCGACAAGTACAAGATGAAGAGAAACCAAAACGGCATGGCACCGATGAGACAATCCACGATGATCGGTAAAAACCACGCACCGCCAAAGAGAAACCGGTTGTACGCCTCGGTCTTTCCGTCGAGCAACAGGCATAGCGGGCCGGCGATCGCGCAGGGGATGCATTCGTAAAATGTGGTCTTGCAAAATTGCCCGAAGTCCAAATCTGTCTCGCCCCACACGTCCACCTCAAACTCCCGCCAATCCTTCTTTGTCAGCAGCTTGGATTCGTCGGCTATTTGCGATTGCCGGGCGGAATTGCTGAATCTGGGCGGGTGTTGGCTGCTCGTTCTACTAGTCCGCGCGTTGTTGATATTATTGCGCAAATTATCCTCATCGTCATCCTCACTTTCCCTTGCGTCTCCGGCGATGTAGTTTTGTTTCTTACCAAACCCAGTTGCAGCACCCGCGTCGGAGCTGCTGGACGCGTTTCCGTTGAAGTCTTCGAAAGTAGACACGTCGTCATCGTGCTCTTCGGTAGGATCGATTAACCGGTCGATATAATTCGTCAAGGCAACGCGAAAGGCTTTTTCCTTCGAACTTCGAACCTGCGTACGGGATTCGTGGAGACCGTCGTCCTGGGAAGAGGAATCGAGCGGGTCCGGGTTGACCTTTTTAGAA